TGGGCGGCGCGCGGGGGCCGTGTCGGGGCAGCGCGGCCTCCCGTGTCCTCCCGCGGCGCCGAGCTCGCGGCTCTGCGCCCACCTGCCCCTCGGCTCCACGGTGCTCACGCGGAGCAGGGAGGAAGCGAGGAGGCTGCTCCTGCGGTGCGCATGCGCCGTTCCTCCTGACGGGCATAGCGCGGGCTCTGGATTGGGCAGCGTGTTCATAAGCAAGTGCCTCTCTTTTTACTTGTAGCTTCGTGCAGGTTATTTGGACTCTTCTAGAGGTTGGTCATTGCATCAGTTCTGACACTGAGCTAGGAAAGCGTTGATACTTGGAGCATGTCCTGTCTCCAGCCACTCGTGTTGATGGTCACCTTGCGAGGAGCGCTAGAAGAGGTGTATCAAGAGTTGTATTAAGATTTCATATGAATATTCCCTCATTTTTACTTGTAGCTTCGTGCAGGTTATTTGGACTCTTCTAGAGGTTGGTCATTGCATCAGTTCTGACACTGAGCTAGGAAAGCGTTGATACTTGGAGCATGTCCTGTCTCCAGCCACTCGTGTTGATGGTCACCTTGCGAGGAGCGCTAGAAGAGGTGTATCAAGAGTTGTATTAAGATTTCATATGAATATTCCCTCATTTATTATGATAAATGAACAGTGTTTCATGGAAGACATCTGAAAAGCCTAAGAATTATTTTAGTCTTTATGATTACCCATCATCATGAATGAATTTAGTTCCATTCTGTTCCATATATATATATATATATATACGCACACACACACACACACACACACATATATATACACACTAGGGAAGGAAGTTTTGAAAGCTGCTGACACGCCACAGCTCCTTTCACTAAGGGCAGATTATTGGTCACTTTTGGAAGTTTGGTTTTAGCGTCAGCTCGATCCTGCCAGCTGCTGCAGGAGAGCTCGGGGGCAGCAGGAGCTCGCAGCTCCTTTCACCCCAGCAGAGGCTTCGCGCCGTTTCCCGGCCCCGTCTCGCTGTTACCCTCTCTCTAGCAGGGCTGCGCGGGCGCCTCTGTGAGGGTGCCGGCGTGTTGGGAAGGAGACGCGCGGCGGGAGCAGCGTCCAGCGCGGCGGGAGCAGCGCGCGGAGCCCGCGGCCGCCGTCCGTGTGCGCGGGGCCAGCGCTCCAGAAACGCGGGGGCTGCTCCACAACGGGTTAACGCTGCAGGTCTGCACGTTTCTGAAAGGAAACTTCTCAGAATTTACTGCTGCACAAGTTTGAAATAGGCAATTTACTCCTTACTACCTCCAGTGCAGTTTTGTTGTGGGATAATGCGAATCCCGTTTTCGCCATGTTCTTTTTTCTTTTAAAATATGATTAAATGAGAAGCCACAGGCAATACATCTGGTAAGCAATTTGCAGTGAAGCGTTGAGGAATGAAGAGAAACGTCTACTCATGTGGCCTCTAAAACTGCTAGTGCTCAGTGCGGCTCACTGTGCAGCTCCCGTTGCCCTGGCTTTGCAGGAGGGCAAAGCCCGCGCCTGCTGCGGGCAAGGGGGGACAACGGCTGCATTGATTCTTGAAAGGGAAACAAGAAATGGAGCTTGGGATGGCCTGGAGCCCCCTCAGCAGCCTGCCTGTTAGCACTCTGTGCTTTCCAGTACAGCTTCATGGCAGTGTGAAGACTTGTGGCGTTGGTATTACTGCCTATTTACATGTATTTCTCCAGAATTACTGGTTGCCCAGGGCTTGAAGTTGAGTTGCGCAGGAAAGGAGATGATGTGAAGTGGCTTTAAGGCCCAGCTGCAGACGGGCACTTTAAATACACTCACCAAGCGGCTGCTTGGTCAGTGGCAGCACGTGCTGGTTGTGCCAGCCCTGGCAGAAAGCGGCAAGTTAAATCCTCTGCCACGCTCCAGTTGTATCGAATTGAGCACATCCATGCATATAGGTTAGATGTTGCACTAGTTTGTTACAGTCGCTTTGCTTCTGTAAGAGTACTTTGACTAGAAGTGTTTAGAGCTATTACTATTTTAGCACATTAAACAACAAATTTATGTTAAGATTGCATGTGGCTGTGAAATTATACTCCCATTAAATGTGACATCTTCTTTTGCAGTGACCCCTATGTGAAACTTTCTTTGTATGTAGCAGATGAGAACAGAGAACTCGCTCTGGTGCAGACCAAAACTATTAAAAAGGTACGTGTCCGGTTTTGCCTCATTGCTCTGGGGGCGCGGGGGAACCCCTGCGTTCAATGCGCGGTGCGCGCGGGGAGGCGGCGGCGACCCCGGCCGCTGCAGGTCGTGCTGTGACACGGGGCATGTGCCACCTGCATCCTGCACTGCTCCGCTTCCCGCGTGATGCTGTGGTGAAGGACGTGCAGGAAATGAGCAGCTAAGGAACTCTGTTTAATTAGTGCTTATTTGACTTTTAGCAAAAACGACCATTCTTCAAAATGATCCTTTTCAAAGTTTTTTGTTTTTGAAATTATTGCTCAACACAGGCATTTAAAAGAGCGACCAGAATGGCAAAAGATAATGCCGTAACAAAGCCCCAAAATGCAGTGAAAATCCTTTAACTTGTCATTAGCAAGCTAAACCGTCTTTAAAGAGAAATTTTGCAAAACAGAATAGGGGGCATTGTTTTTATTTGGAACACAAAACAGAAAGATTCTCTCTCAAAATCAGAGCACTGGCTCTTGTTCGTGCGCGAGTCGCTGGGCCGCCACGGACGCTCCGGGTGCCAAGAGACCCTCTGGCCGACGTGGCAGAGCCCACGGGCAGCCCGTGGCGCGGGAAGGGGCTCCCGGCGTGGGGCTGCCCCTGGGAACGCGCTCTTCTCCTCCCGTAGCGAGGGCCGTGTTTGCCGTATTTGCTGCTTCCAGTTTCGTGATCGTCTGTGGGGCTTCCTCGGGTTTCTTTTTTCTTTTTCCTTTCTTTTTGTTGTTAATTGCTGGTGCTAAGCCTGTGATTTCAGCTGTCAGTTCTTTAAAAGGTTGTCCCGTTTCCTCAGACTGGCTGCTCTAGGCTCTTACAGCTTCGCTTCTCCTTTAGTGGCGATAACTCCTGTCTGCACACTGACTCCAAGCAGCTATTCGGCCTTTACTGTAATGGCAAGCATAATTTTCCATACCTAAATACGTTTTTTTTCTCCCGTTTGAGCCTCATTGCTTAGTAGCACCACTTCTTTCCTCATTCCCTTTTTATTTATATGGTCGAGAAACCTCCTTCGTGCTTGTTTTGATATCCTGTGGAAGATCTAGCTCAGCTTGACTCTTGGCAGTTCTTTATCTCTGCGCTACTTGCCCTTTTTAGGCTGCAGCTCTTTTTGCTGATGGGTCGTTTTTGTTGTTGTTGCTCTGCTAGCATCCTCCACGAAGCGGTTATTCATCCATTTATTTCTGGAGTCTTTCTTCACAAGGGTTTTTCTCCTGCGCTGGCGTTGGCGC